AATGCCTGATTGACAGGTGGATCAGCTGGGCTGGACATCCCAAAGTCATAACCACTGACAGAGGGACGCATTTCAGGGGAGAATTTTCAGAGTATTTGGCACAGCATGGTATAATCCATAAGAACGCTCCCCTCGAGAGTCCGCAGACTATTGGAAAGGTCGAACGTCATGGTGGACTTGCCAAGGCCATCATTAGGAAAGTCGCGCAGGAGACTCAGCCCTCGAATATCGAGGAGATGGAGGCGGTCGTTACCGAGAGTGTTACTACTAAGAACGAGCTTAGTAGGCACCAAGGGTTTAGCCCAGCACAACACGTGTTGGGAAAGCAGCCTCGAACACCGGGTTCCGTGTTAGATGAATCCGAAAGCCTTGGTACATTGTTCACCAAGTATGATGAGACGAGCGTATACTACGTTCGGCACAAAGCACGGCAGGAGGCCAAAAAGGCCTTTGTTCATTTAGAGACTTCTCGCAAGGTGGCTAAAGCGTTACAGCGTAATGCAGCCCCTCTAGACACTGATTATAAGGTTGGTGATTTAGTTATCTACCGTCGGGACAACGTCCCTGGCAGCCCAGGTGTCGTATGGTCCACGGTTAGCCGCGTCATAGGACGTGAGGCAGAGAATGCGTACTGGGTATTACACGAGAATATCCCTGTACTTGTGAACGCTAGGAAGATGCGCCCAGCTGATGAAATCGAAGTTGCAGCGCACCGCGTTTTGGCAGGTGAACCAGTGCTTCCGGAAGCCATCGTACATGGGCCGGAACAAAGGTTCCAGGATGAGCGCGTAGCGGACCCGGTCACAGCACCAGCGACGCCACGTCCAGTGGCCGTAGCTGCCCCGCTTACACCGGCAGTCGCGCACGATGTGCCTATGCCAGCACCATCGACGCCAGCGATGATGCCCGGCACACCGATGCCAGCGCCATCTACCCCTGCAAGGTTTCGCGCCAAAGATAAGACGGGCGAAACCGCTCGGTCGCGATCGCCAGTAGGAGGCCGTGATGACGCACTAGTTGCGGAAGAGCTTGATCAAGTAGAGATCATGGCAAAAGGCCTGATAGATGCTCAGGGTTTCTCTCCAGATGAGTGTCTGGCCCTCCTTCGCGCTTATGACCGCGACCGACGCGAGGCGTACACGCGCCCGCTCCTAGATGATGGAGATCCCGGGAGCATAGCCCTCGCGGTGGGAGTATATCGGCACGGTGGTCTTGTTGGTGTCTCTGGACCGACGCGCGAGAGACCGTCGTTCGCCATGTATCTCAACCACTACCTCTTGCATCACAGTATGCAAGCCGGACACCATCTTCCACAGTGGAGTAGCGTTCAGCTTACCAACAGAGGCGCAGAGGCCCATAGAGACCTAGCGAACACTCCTGGCTCGTATAACTACACTATAGGTGTGGGCGAGTATCGTGGAGGCGGCCTATGGGTGGAAGAAGCCACGGGTACAACCCCCGTGCGTGTTCAAAACGCGACAATGTATGGCACCGTCCATGATACTAAGAACAAGGTTCTTAAGTTCCGCCCGAAGGACGTGCACATGGTCGCACCGTTTGTAGGAGAAAGATACAGTCTCTCCGCATACACGGTGAGTGATCTCGGCAAGTTGTCTAAAGATGACATACAGCTTTTGTCGGATCTAGGCTACCCCATATATAGGGATACGCCCAACACCTTTGGCAGGAAAAGCGATGGGATATATACCATGGGTCACTCTGATCTTCCCATCGAGACGTTCCTAGAACGCATCCACGAATACGGGATTAAGGAAATCGTTGATTGCAGAAGCCACCCGTACAGCGTTCGGCATCCACAATACAATTGTGATGAACTTTCTGCCACATGTTTTGCAAAAGGAGTTGTGTATAGTCACGCCCCCGAGTTAGGCAACAGGAACCGGGGCGGGATTGAGGCCAACCTGCAAACAGACCAAGGGCTCTGTACGATCGCTAGAATAGTTAGCGAGGCTCACGATGACTTTCACCGAACACTTCTACTATGTTCGGAGGCCAGTTGGCGGCGATGCCATCGGCGAAATATCGCCCAGCACATATGGCTCGAGCATTCGAAACTTGCGGAGCACATACGTGCTAGCGGACTGCCAGAAGCCCATCCGTGTCACTACACTCCTGAGGAGGACGACGGACTGGCAGCAGCATCGCACACAGCTGCGATTGGCACGACAGTGCCAGCAGTTGAGCCCTCGGATGGTCGCGAGGCGGAATCCAAGGCCTTTGCTCTCACCCCTGATGGGGAAGACGCCTTCGGCTCTAACGTCGATGTTGGCTATATGGCCTCGCTCTTGGACTACCATAAGGCCCCTGTGGAGGTACAGTTGGGCCTGGATGCTGCCATGAAGACTGAGTGGCAGAAGTACACCGAATTCAACGCGGTGGTCCCTTGCACAGACAAGGAGTTTAAGGAGCTTACAAAAGCTGGCCACGTGTGTATCCCCACCAAATGGGTTCTTACCGATAAGAATGAACACCTAAAGGGGACAGCAGCATACACTCCCAAGTGGAAAGCACGCTTGGTCGCATGTGGAAACTTCGAGCATATCTCGAATGAGGAGGATATCAGGGCAGATAGCCCCACGGCCGAGCCGGAAGGTATAGCTCTTCTGTGTTCATGGGCGGTTTCGTTGGCCCTGCGGCTCAAAGCAGCCGATATAACGAACGCATACTTCCAAGGGAAACCCCTTGAGCGCCTCCTCATTCTTCGGGTTCCCAAACACCCTAAGGGTGTGCCCGATGCAGAAATTCAGAGAGCCGGGTATATGATTGCCCGAGTACCCGTGTACGGCACCACCGACGCGGGCCGGAACCTTTACCTCCGTATACAGGAGAGTTGTAGAGAATTTGGCTTAAATGCCTCGCAAATTCTGTCAGCCCTGTACTATATTACAGGAGAAGGTGGTCGTTTGTGTGCTTGCTTGTGCACCCACGTGGATGATTTCCTGTGGGCTGCTACCGCCGAAGGCGAGCCGGCTATCCAGAATCTGCTGGATAAGTTTAAGATCGGTCGCATAGAGACTGAGAAGTTCCGTTTCTGCGGACGCGAGTATGTGCAAAGCGCCGATGGGACCATCAGTATAAACTGTAGGGACAACACGCGTGCAATTCGCCCGATCGATATACATAAATCTGAAAAGGGCACGACTCCAGTCTCGAATGGCCAGCGCACAGCGCTGAGATCCGTCATAGGATCGCTGGCTTGGGTGGCTCGCGCCACGAGACCTGATCTTGCCTATAGGGTGAATGCCCTGCAGCAGCGTGTTACGACAGCCACGGTGGATACGCTCCGTGAAGCAAACCGCGTAGTAGCACTGGCGTTAGGAGATGCGGATAGGCCGATCACGTACAGCGCTAAGTTACCCTGGAGTACAGGGGACCTGGCGATCGTCACGTTTTGCGACGCCTCCTTTGCAGGAGAGGCGAACCATAAGTCGCAGAGAGGCCGTTTCCACTATCTCACTTCCGCACAGTCGGCGGTGGACAAGAACGCGCCAACGCATGAGATGCACCTCATTTCGTTTTCCTCGTCCACCATGAAACGGGTTTGTCGAGCCACACTGCAGTGTGAGGCTTACTCGTTGCAACATGCCATAGAGCATGGAGATCGCATTCGAGCAGCAGTACTCGAAGTACTCGGCAAACTGCCCCGGTCACAGAACTGGGAAGAAGTCGCCAAAAGATCGATGTTCCACCTGCAGTATACGGACTGCAGGTCCCTTTCGGATCACTTGACAGCGTCGATTCCAAAGTCCTGCGAGGATAAACGCCTTGCCATTGAGATGTCTGGACTTCGCCAAGGACTCTGGGAGGAGGACGAGCTAACGCACGTGCTGTACCATCCCTGTGGCGACGAGTTGAGATGGATACCGACGCACTTACAACTTGCGGATTGTCTCACTAAGAGTATGAAACCGTTTTTGATCAATCACAGCATTGATCGCAATCTCGTACAGGTACTCGATGTGCCCGCGCAAGCCGCACACAAAACCGAGAGTACCGAAGGCACTCCGCTTCACGATTGAAGAACTCAGCCTAGAGCCTTGAGTCGCCGCACTCGGCTCGGTTGACTGTGCAAGCTCCCGGTATAATCCGGTGAAGTAGGTTTGGTCCAAAGCGACCAAAATTCGAGCATGATTCGGACGTCACACTACAGATAAGACGGGTGTGAAATTTCCCTGTCTTGAAGAGCCGTGTTGACATGTCCTCATGCGAGTGTAGCTTTTCATGTTCAGTTCTGAATGCACCCTGTACGACAGACGTCTTGGGCTCAGATCAAAAAGTGTGCTCGTTGTGTGGTTGGACACTCACTAATCCAGTTCCTGCTTCAAACCCCTAAACCCTAAACCCCTAAACCCCAAACCCTAAACCCCCGCCATCCGCATTTTTTTTAACCCGAGGTCGAGAGTTAGGAGCTGCACAATCTGTGTATTCTACTACCGGTGAGGGCTACAACAAATTCGTGCTTGCTTACCTTCTGCGGGGAGTGGAGCTAAGGGGTTCCTCCCCAAACCCTTGAGCCCTGAACCCTAAACGGGTTTCGGGTTTAGGCGTCATTTCAGTGGCCTGTCTTCGCTTCCTCGTGTTTTGCATCACTTGAGCCGTGTTTGAAGGTATTACAAGCCGCAGATTGCTCAGCCCGCCATCGTGGCTGAAGAAAAACCCAAGCTTCACGTCACCTTTCACCAAAAAGGGAAGGAAGTGCAAAGTCTGGACATACAGCAGACGCGTGGGAGCGATCATGTGGTCTTGCAAATTCCAGGTGACGAGCCCGACCCTGTCTGGGCCATTGATCCCGGGAACTCTTGATAAGGACTTTGATTTTGAGTTAAGTAACCACAAAAGGGATCTATAAGGGTTCCTTTAAGGGTTTAGGGTTGAAGGTTTAAGTTACCGTAATAAGGCCATGGTAAATAATACGGTAGCTTAAACCATGAACCCAGGATCCCACCTTGGTCGCTGCCGACGTGGGGATCATCGAGATCATGACGCCGGTGCTCACCCCCAGAGCATGGTTGGCTTTGAGGGAAGATCTTCTGAGGAACAGCAAGGCCATGCATTGGATTGCTGAAGGTGCCACATGGTGCGTGGATGTCAAGTGGTGCGAGTTGGCTCGCACAGCTGTGCTTGGTTTGGAAGCCGAAGGGGAGCCGGACGTCAGTATCGAGGCTGCCGCCCAGAAGCTGCTTAGCATGGTCAAGCTTAGCAAGGGTCCGAAGCATGCCTTGCATTCCCAGACACATGGGCTCACCCCCCTTTTTTGCTCTTGCGTAGTTTGTAAAGTGTAGCCATGGCGGAGCAATGAACTGCCCCAGTTATGAACGAAAGCGCGACTCCTAAACCCTCGCGATACTAATCCCTCAACTTACTCTCTTCTTCAACAACCGGGCCCCAAAAAGTTCAAACTTTCCAAGATAGAGCTAATATATACCAAAGGTAAGTCCTCCACTGTCTGGTCCACACAGAATCGAGTGCAATTCGAGATTCTGCAAGGCCCTTCGAAAGGATCTTCACATCGAAGCGAAGAGAGCTTCGGGGTTTTGGGTTCAAGGTTTGGGGCGTTGGGGCTTATAGCTATTTGCAGGCAGCAGCTTCAGCAATCTTCTTGTTTTGCTCCGTGTGGAGTCTTAGTTCCCTGTACGTTGACAACTCTGCCGATTTGGCAAGCTGCGGCTCTGGAATCCTGAGCAATTGTGCTGATATCCGAGCAGCGAGGTTCTTCCAACAACAACTCTCTCTGAACTCCATAAGCCCACTAGTCCCTAAACCCTAAGCCGCCCTAAACCCCCTAAACCCCCTGAATCCCCTGAACCCTAAACCCGCAAACCCTATACCTCAAACCGCCCTAAACCCCTAAACCCCTTTAAACCCCTTAAACCCCAAACCCTAAACGGCCCTAAACCCTAAACCCCCTTAAACCGCCCTAAACCCTAGTCCAAGGCTGCCCCACCAGCAGCGGGGGGCGACGCCGCGCGAGCCGTCTGCCTGCATGGTCTTCTACCAGAGCTTTGGGTGGAATTTTTTTATTAAGCGTCATTATCTGGGGTTTAAGGTTTAGGGTTCGGGTTTGTGTCTTCTACGTCATTATGTTGGGTTTAGGGTTTAGGGTCCAGGGTTCAGGGGTTCAGGGTTCAGGGCTTAGCGTATTCTATCTGGGCTGCTTGGAGGTTCATGGGTAGTTGTAAGTAGGGTAAGAAGTAGGGTAACTATACTTATAGGGGACTTATAGCTACCAATGAACCTCCAAGTAGCGGTTTTTTGGGGGAACCTTACGGGGTGTGGGTTTCGGGGCTTGGGGATTAAGCGCTTAAGGGTTTGCTTTGGGCTTTCGGGGGGTATTTCTTCATGCCAAACGTCCTCGTAACAGCAAGAAGCAAGTTGCAATGGCAATCTGTTTTTCGCTGTGAGATCCACTGAAGGACTCCTGTGCGTCATCACAACTTTCAATCGCTGAAGAAATCGAAGTTCGAGCTGCAGAACGAGGAGTTGTGTGGCGAACTTGCGGTGGGGCTGAGAAATACAACGTTGCGACGCGTATATCGCACTTTCCACGAGTCAGATCTTAGAGCAAGTTCGCTCGCGAAAAACAGTGCTTTGCCAACCCATCTATTCTGTGTGGTTTCTTTTCCGTCTGGATACGAGCGTCCAAGCCATATGCGAGGATGGAGTCAGAGATCTGACTGCTGCACAGGTAATGCAAAGATATAATATAATATATTTTAATACAAGATATTAGAATATAATACAATTTATTAGAATATGGTCTTATCAAACATAATATCTTCCAAAAATTTCATAAAATATATGAGCTACAATACTTAATAATGTATTCGAATATGCCATAAATTATTTTTAAGAAGAATATTCGAATTCATATATATATATATATATCAATAGAATAAAATATAATCAGTACATAGGTCTCTCTCTCTCTCTATATATATATATATGAACAAATACCTATCTTTATGATATATTCAATTGCTTGCATCATTTAGATAACATATCTGTCTGTTCTGATATTTAGATTTCAACAATACTATTAACAAATATTCTTTATATCCATATTCTTCATTTCATAATCATACAAATAGAATCTGAGAATACTTTAAATAATATATAATTAGAGAATAACACACTACAGGCCCGAATTTTTCGTGCCTGTCGCGAGTTATGCATCCAAACTGTATTCTCTCTCTCTCTATATATATATATATATACGTATATCTGGAACTCTTGCATTCCACACTACCACTCCGAGAATATTTTGATTGAAGACTTACCTACTGGGGGATGGTTGATTATTTGTTGTTTCTCCTTGCGCAGAAAACGCGTGGGGAACAGGATACGTAGGGATTATATTGAACCTTGAATCTGAGAGAGGGATCTGCGACCCTTCTCGACTTTTGTGGCCTTGGGAACATTTTTGACGGGTCTTCGCAAAAGATTTTCAGTATCTCTTATGGCTCCAACGACTTACTTCCTGTTGGCTGAGACTTTCTGATGCCACCCAGACAAGTTTGGCAGCTGTTTGCGTTGCAAGTTCTTCATGAAGTGCCTTCCGTAACATTTGGCTTAGATTTGTCTTCTGAGACTTTGTGCTAGCACCTCATCCTCTTGTACTTTGAGAATAGGCATGGCGCAGAAGCGGGCCAGGCGAAGGCGGATCTGGGCTTGAGTATCGCATGCGAGTGTGGTGGGAAGACGATGCACATTTTCAGCTGTACATAGGATGGGTGGAACATGAACTCATAAACTTGTTGTGTGTATATATATGTAATATGTATATATAGAGGAAAAGATATCATAAGTAGAGGCGTTCTCATAGGGAACGCCGAAGACTTCAGAATATAATTCTAGAATACTTCTTTGAAGTACTAAAGCATACCAGCACAGACGGAAAACGTTCAAACAAAAAGCACCAAGTCGTACCAGCAGCAGCAAAGCAAGCGGAACAAAACAACTAGCTGTCGTGAAGCCTCTATAGCGAGATACCCGCTGCGATGATACTTTGATGGTTTGATTGAGTCATAATAAAGAACGATGGGACCACGGAGCAGATAGCGGGATCGATGCCTGGGCATTCGCTTTCGCAAGCTCGATGCCTCGGGTGAACAGCAACCATATCCCCTGTACTCGGCTAATGTAGAACTATTCGGGACGAAGCCCTAAAGGGCAGTGGCCACTGTGGTCCTCGAAGAATGACGAACCAGATAAATCGTAGGCGCAGGAGAAGGTACGATTGAGGGTAGAAAAGCAAGTATGCAGTATTGCGGCAGCTGTGTGGTCTGTTTCATGGACAAGCTGGGTTTGAGGAAGTGACAGAAGGGACAACTCGTGCAAATTGCGTCCAGCCGATCGCCAGGTCACCCACTGACCACCTGTGCGGACCAAGCTGACCAGCACACAGGCAAGACTGGCCCCTGCATACCAGGGGGCTTTACAGTCGGGTACTATAGGGACCTGAACAATTACCAATATTCATTTAAGGGCTCTTTATTATATAGGTATGGTATAGTATACCAAAATCCTATTCTAATTATTGAGGAACCTATCTTATGTTGGGTTGCTGCTGAAAGGTCAGGTAAGCTCCTTCCTGCTGCATCCAGCATGGGCTAGACTCTTCGAATGCAGTTGTAGTTATAAGTAGGGTTGCAAGTAGGGTTACTATACTAATGACTTAGAAGCTGCCCCCACCCTGTAATAGTGACTATAGGGATTATATTAGGGCCCTATTATATTCCTATTATACCACTGTTACAGGGTGGGGGCCCCTTCTAACTAATGACCCATGTTAGGGGGCTTATAATGTTCTCGATCCAAGTCTTGGAACCTGCCACCTGCAGTTTGCCTGCTTGTCCAGATGCTTGCTGGGTGTTGTGTTTTGCCGTGTCTTTCATTGGCTTCAGTTGCTCTGTCTCGTCTGCGTCGCCTCCTGCGGGAAGTATTCTGCATACTACTTGGAGGTTCATGGGTTTTTACAATAAGGCCCCTAATATGGGTTATAAGTATGGCTACCCTCCTAGACCCTCCATCTACCCTCTATTAGACCCTAAATGCCCCTTATATTTGGGACCATATACCCCTATTTGAGGGGTACAAGGAGGGTCCTGGCTACTTATAACCCTACTTAGAGGATCATGGGACTTAGTAAGTAGGTTATAATTGGGGTTATAAGTCCCCTAAGTGGGGTTATCCTAATTATAACCTACCTATAACCTTGCTTACTAAGTCCCATGAGCCTTCAAGTATTTATGAACAACTACAATTGCGTTCGAAGAGGTCGGAGAGCTCCCCTTAGGCAGCCATTCCTCGTACTATGCGCTCGAAGAACGCTCCATCGCCCTAGGAGTCCTGGGAAGCAATCCATGTGCTGCGTGTGTGTTCGAAAAGTTGGAGAATCCAGTGCTGCAGTAGTTCTTTTTGGCAACGTTTCGCGTGTTGCTGCCTCGTGACATGAAGTTCGCAACATGATAGTGCAATGGTTGAACAGCTGATAACTTTGGGCAGGTCTAATGCTCGCGTACATCATCCTGGCGGCAAAGTTATCTGCCGATTGGCTGTGCGGCCGTGCTGCCTGCTATGTCTGAGATGCACGCTGTCATGCGAGGGCCAGGATCCCGATTTTCTGAGGCTCCGTCCTCCATTTCGGATAGATGAAGGCGGATGCAGTCACTCCCGTTGCGGCGCACGGGCTTCGAAGTTTTCAATCGCCTTCGCACACTTCCAGGGCCGCATGACGGCCCTGTATATACTTGATGCGAAGCCACGAAGACTCTCCGGAACGCGGTAAGGGGAAGACCAGCATAATCGGGTCAGCACAGCACATGCCGCCCGGAAAAGGGAGGTCAAATGAGCATCCTCCAAAAAAGAAGCAACGGCTGCTGCCACATGCTGTGACCCTTTGTTAGGGGAAGTTTTCCGTCCTTTTTCGTCAGGGAATGCTACCTTCATCCGCAGAAGCAGGCCCTAGAGGCCAAACGACAGCGCCGCCCCCCATGACAACCCTTGCAAGCTGCTAGACGAGACGGCACGGTCCGGTTGCTATCATTACGGTCCCTTTTTGGGTACCCTAAATATTAGGTGCCGTACTATAATAAGGACCCAAAAAAGGGACCGGTCCGGTTGCTATCGGGCAATCTCGGCCTCTGGGCTCTTCCGTATTAGACGCCGTCTCTGAGGTTTCGATGTGCGCCTTTGTTGGGGGAGCGACTTGAAGTCCGTCCGCAGCAGCATGGATCGAAAGTTAGGGGTATCTCGTTTGGGGGTCCTTCTAATACGGATCCTACTACTTAGAGTATTATATAAGGGTCCCCTATGGAGCAAGTGTTAGACAGAGCTAGATGCCGTCTAGGCTTCAGCACGGAATCCACGTGCGACAGCCCTGGCTTGACTGAGGCAGTTTAACTTGGCGATCACTCCCGACCGCTTGAATGCGCGATATTCTAGACCTAAGAGTTTTAGCTTGCCATTGTCTTGCGGCGGTCGGAGTCGTTTCTACTTACAGTGCACTCTGAGACTTATTGGACGTGGTCAAAGGCAGCCGCCGTCCTCGACATCTGGAGCCAGCCTGGCTCTTCGGAAGCACGCGTCGTCGCACATTGACGGAGCCGTGGTCCGTGCGCCAACGGGAAGTTGGCAGCTAAGCTTCTCCAGGCGCGGCACTACGCCGGAGACACTCGTTTGCCGCTCGGTGATGCGGATACCGGGAAGATCGCCTGTGGTGCACTCGCAAGTGACTGTAGCCACTGCCTCCGCCGTCTGCATATTCTGCACTTAAGACAGGCGTAATGGCCAGCCAGATGGGCTCGCTGGCCTGTTGCAGTCAGCAGCTGATCTTCCTCCCAGCCCTTCGGAAGCACTGTCTAGATATGGCGCCTTGCTGCGTCGACGGGCCCTTCCTGCAGTCGAACAGAGTGTGCCACCTTGTGCGCTGCCGGCGCTGTGCCCAGTACGAGCCGTGCCGCTGTCGGCACGTTTAGCCCTGGTGCTGCGGCTCCTTGAAAGATGGCTGGATCTAGAAAGTAGATCCCATAATTTGGGGCCCTATACTACTAAGGGTACTTTATAGGAACCCCCCATTAAGGGATCTACTTTTTGGATCTTCAATACTGGCCTTGGCGATGGTGCCAGGGGCAGGGGCATGAGGGGCATGTTGGCGCTCCACGAGTGCAGAAAAGCGTGCGATGGCTTCACCGGCACATGCTTCTGGTAGCGATTCCTGAGATCCTTCCTTTGATTAGCTTGGCATTGGGGATTTCCCTTCGTGCTCTGCAGACTCGAACTCCGTGCACTCTACTTGCAGTGGGATCGCCGGGAATCCGGGAGCTCTGCAGCTGTCTCCCCTCCAGCCGCCGATTCTTCGGGGCGCCTTCGTTCTTGCAGCTCTTCCTCCCATCCCGCACGAATCTGCGGGCACGCTTCCAGGATGCTTCGCCTGAGCTGCAGAAGCTCTCGCCACCGAGGGGAAGTGGGGTGCGGTGAGCAGAGAAGACTTCTGAAGCTACAGCCACACTGCCTCCTGCTCGTCGAGGCAGGCACGCCTGCGGCGAAGACGGGCCAGAAAGCTCGCTACAATTTCTGGATATTCCCCTGTTCTTGCTCGAATTTAGTTTCGGCGGAAACGACCGTGGTTGACTCTCGAGCGACCCCATTTTGCTTTCGAGCGACCCCGTTTGACTTGTCAGCTTTGCGAGGAAACGCCTCAC